AGTATCATTAAATAAATTTTAGTTGAATAGATCTGAAAATGAAATAAAAAGAGAATTTAGGCTAAAGCATTTATATACTAGCATAATCACTTCTATATACAAAATGCCAACAAGATATATGCGAAGCTTACAACTTTGCACCATTGCCGTTAATATATCAAATGATCAGGATACCATTACAGAAACATCTCTAGAAGGCCATGTGCATTACTATTTTCATTAAATATGGTTTTCCAGAGTTTATAGTAATCATGATTACCATCACTACCCAATAATTTAACTAGTAAAGAGCAGCATCTTACTTGCTCCTTTAGTAATGACCTCAAACCTCTGGTTGACTGAGAGATATAAGCATGGTATGACCTTCTACTTCTTCCCGAGCCATCAGTAGCAGTGAACATCACCACAAAATGTGAAGTGCACACTAGAAAGTTTCAAACAAAATCATTACCAAGATATAGCTTATATTTCCAAACAAATTAATGCAAGTGAGAATTATCCAACATAAAACTTAAAGAAGAATTTACGGTCATGAAAAGAAGAAAAGATAATTTGAAATTATGGAGGAAACAAAGTAGGATTTAGGTGTGGCGGACGGAGAGGGCATGTATGTGTTCTTCAAAGAACTCAGGGCCCCATTAAAAATATTATCCTGATTAAGTATACACATAAGATGCGCAAGGTATTTAACAACATTGAGACGCAAGCAAAATACAATTAAACAAGAAAATGCAAGCATTTCAAGGCCTGCAGTCACAGGTATGTGTGTGCAATAAATAAAATACCTTGATGTTCTAATGACGAGAAAACATCATCCTCATAACTTGGTTCAATCAACAGTGCAAGAATATTGGAGCATGGTTTGAAAAGTGTTGATACATGAGGAAAAAAGCATAAGCATGAAAACATTTACCATAAAAGATGCTACAAACATTTTCCCGAAACATATAGTAAAGACTCCGAAATGATTCCTCCCATGCCCCGACCCGCTTTCTTAAGAAATCCATTTCAACTGGAGAACAAGTGACAGAATCAGTTAAATAACTTCAGATAAGGGGAGAAATGGAGAAGCAATACTCTAGACATGTGTGTGTGTGTTGGTATACAAACAAGACGGACTGAAAGAGAATTCAACACAAATGTTTCATTAAAGAAACCTCCATCTGCTGCTGCTGAGATCAGTACTGAAATTAGAGATGGTGGTAGGGTAGATTGAGGATAAATCCAAGAATGTAATGCATTTGAATTCAACACTTGGGAAGCTAGGCTGGTCTGAGAAGCACTGCTAACATTTTGGTCTTCAGAAGAACCAGAATGTGATGTAAATTGAGGCATACCATTATATGTACCAGACATCATTGACCTATGTAACCTGGAAACACAAAACAATGATACGCTTGTTATACATACACACGCACATATATACACAAAATAAACAGCACTAAAAAATGAACACAGAGGCCATATCTCCAAGTAAAAGAAATATAACAAAAGTATATGAAGAAAAACAACATATTTATTCACCAATTCACTGAGGAGGAGGACACCAATCGCACATAAGTTTTCAGAGTAAAATCCAGAGGAATTTTCTTCCCTGTCACATGGTAATCAGAACAGAAGTTCCCCCTTGAAAGATCATCAAATCTTTCAGAAGATTCAGAAGGTAAATTCGGGATTGCTTCACAAGCAACTAGTCCTTTCAATGCTTTATCCTACAAAATAACTGGTGGTTTATTATGGGGAAAAAATAATCCAAGTAATTGAAGCTTGAAGCTGCTAAAAGCATATACCATGTCAACAGTTGCCAAGCCTGATAACTTTTGGCCCCCTGATGAAAGCTCAGTAACACTGAGAAATGTACCCTGATTGCATTTTTCAAGTGTTCGATGGGCATTGGTCACATCATTTTTTGGAACGTCAACAGAAGCAACAAAACCCTCTGGACTGTAAAGCAACAACATATAACCACTAAAATCAAACAATAAATCCAATTATTATGTGACAGATATGGAGTACTAGGACTGACAGACATACCGTGAAAGTTGTTGCCTTTTCTTGGCAGCCAAACTTGAAAATGCAGAGATATTCTTTAGGCAGCTAGGTTGCTCAACTGAACTATTGTCCTGCTAAACAGTAACATGATTGAACAAATCAATGAACTAGTTATCACCTTATTACTAATAAAAACTTAATCTGCATTAAGATATTTCTATTAAATGCATTTTCTGGAAATGTAACCTTCGAATTTTCTTTTCCTGAAGGCAGTTTGAACCTTGATTTCTTGGAAGGGTATACTTCATTCATACGGATGCCAATATATTTTGGATTCCTTTGTGGATCTGATTTTTTGACTCCATTCTCCATATCACTGCCACAACCAACAGAGAAAAGCAAATTTTTAAGATGCTTGCAACTCCATAATAATAAGTAAAAGGAACCGGAACTAAAGAGGCATAACACTTGCCAAAGAGAAAGAGGAATAACAGCACTACCTTGGGGCCAAAGATTTATGAACAAGCTCCGCAACATTTGCCATCTTTAACTGCTCCCCCTGTCATATAAACACATTATGAAGCATAAGATTAAAATACAATTCCTCGTAAAGTTAACTAAACTATTGTCTATTTAGCATCAATACTCCAAGTATTAAACCAAATAATGTAAAAAAAAGTATGGTTGAAAATTCAGAAAACGTGACTGCAAGGCGCACAAGGTGAAAAGAGTAACTATCACGTTCAGAGCTATGACTTAGTGGACTAAGGAAAAACTCAAAGCAGTGAATGGCTCTCCAGACAAATTAAAATAAGAATAATAATAATCGAAAAAAACATTGACTAGAAAAAAAAACTAGAGACAATAATACATTTATCTCTTTAAAAGGTACCCTTATGCATTATGAAAACATCCTGATCCCCTAAACAATTACAATGAACACAACTATATAAAAATAAAAGATCATAAAAAGAGAAATACCCAATCCCAACAATGCTAGTAAAAGTTAAGAGGGGGAAAAACAATACTCTAAGTTCCGAAGGGGTCTTCCTTTTAACTGCTGTACCAATTTTGAGAGCATCACCGCCAATTTGTTGCGGTGCAGAAGCTAAAGCACCAAGTGTAGCTACCTTTGCCATATTCGAGACTCCACTCAAGCAGTAATCGCGACTCCTTTACCTGAAACAGCAATAGCAATACCAGCAATTATGACGTTTTCTTTGTAATTTTGGAAAAATGGAATAGAAAACTCGCATGTTTGTATTGGTGACAAAATAATGATAGATTTCATATAAAAATTGCAATTCAAATCAGTGTCTTACCACGGGGAAGAAATGACTCAATAATGGAACCAAGAGAATCCTGGTAATCCCCAATCGGATAGTAATCTAGGGTTTTGTAAAAAAAATTAATTTGCCCCAAAGCTGATGAAAGCATAAGGGCAAATCATGGAAAGAAAGGAGAAGGGAGAGAGAGAGAGAGAGAGAGAGTGCGGCAAAGTGGAAAAGCTTAAATGTGTTTTTGGAGGTTTATTTGTTTTTTAAACAATTGGGTTTTCCCTCCTGCAACTTACGGCGTTATCAAATTCCCTATGATTTGTGCTCTTCCAAAAATATGGGTAATATTGTTTGTTATTATTTAAGATTGAACATTCAATCGAGTCGAGTCAAATCGAGTTAAAAAATTTTGAATTATTTAAGTTTACGAGTTATATTTTATAACTTGAATTTAACTTGAAATTTTTTGAGTCAAATCGAATTATTCAAATTTCTATACAAATTTAATTATAATTACTTATAATATTATAATACAGATTTATTCCAATTTTTTTAGTCTCTGTAACCATATAATATATATATATATATATCTTATTATTTTTTCACATTATAATGTTATTTTATATATCACATACAATCTAAACTTATAAAATATATTTACATTATTATATTTCAAAGAATGTACACAAAAGATTGAGGAGAGTATAAAGGAGTCAAACTATTAATGTGAAAAAAATAATTTGTAAACAATTGTTGTCAGGAGACTAAATTGAGTAAAATATCAATTAAATGACTAAATTAAAAAAAAGTATACTTTTAGTGAAAAAATAAAAATTGAAGTTATATGGGTTTTCTATAGTGGTAGGTGAACATTTGGTCAAAAACATGCTTAAGATGAATGATGAATTGAAGAAATACGAAAATCATGTAAAATTGAAGACTAAATTAAAAAAGAAGAAAATTTGTTGTCAAAAAGTGGAATTGAAGGTAATATGTATTCTATAATGATTTAGAAGCACTTTGTTCAAATTTTGTTAAAAAAATTGACTTAAAATGAATGAGGAATTGAAGGAATAAGAAATCGGAGACCAACTCATAAATATTTCAAAATACTCATCCAAATTTTTTATTTTCGAGTTACTTAAATTTTAAATTTCAACTTGACTCGAACAACTCAAAATTTAGCCATGATTTAACCTTTTGAGAAATTATATCAAAATTCTAATCGAACATATAAATTAATGTTTAGCCATCAAAATCTGGCAAATTTGCTTGGATGGGGCATTGAAAAAAAAATTGTTTTCGTTTGGAGTAGTTAATTTTTTATTTTGTTCAAATAAGATGAATGCATCGTCTTCAAGCTTTTCATCATTGGAGTATCATGACTGGTATCTTTCTTTGATGCAGTTATACTTGGTCGGAGTACCATAGTTGACCTCTTGAAGATGTTCGAGATGTGGACGTCAGATGCTGTCGAAGATGAAGAGTTGAAGACGTCGGGTACTCCAATCATCTTCCAAAAAACGTCATATACTCTGACTGACTTCGAACTCATTATAAAATTCACCCTACTTAGAAATTAATTTTTTTCACTCTTCCATTTCAGCTATTTTTCTCCAAAGCTCCATCACAACATTTTTACCATCAAAACCTATACTTTTTAGACATATTTTACTATTACTATCATCAGTAACATTCTCAGCTAATAATTAAGAAACGTAAACTTATGATCTACACACAAGCTAAGAAACGCAGCCAAGTTGGAGACAGTTCAAGAATTTGATCTCCATGTTCCACCCCATTAAATGCCAGCTTCGACATTTGTGCATCGAACAGACTACTCGATGACGATCTCTCAGTCACCTTGCCGGCCAGTGAGGCCACCGCCATGGATTCGTCATGATCATCTTCCCTTACCAAGTTCCAAGAAGAAGGTGATGGCGTTCGATTATACGACTCGTCGCTCGATAACGAGTCCTTCCCCGTGAGTCGTTGCACCAGGCTCATGAACTCCTCGGGTCTAGCATGGATAATCTTTGGCGACCTCAGATAGATTACCACGGGGTTAATTACCTCGCTTCTGCTGTCGATTCGATTTCGAATAATATTATTATGCGATGATTTCTTGATTACCGATGAAGAATCGTTAACCTTTAACGGAGAAGGCCTTGGACCCTGCATCAAAGATCTCCCTCTAATGGTGTGCTTGATTTCACAACTTTCACTAATAAGACTCATCTTTTCTTCTTCTTCTTCTTATCAAGGCTTGGAGAAGACCAGTCATTGGTTTATATATATATACATGTTATATTGATAATGAGGACGTAAGAAAGAGTCCAACCATATGCGAAGGGATTGCTTAGAAAAAGCCCAGAAAACTGGGTCTATGGATTTGAAACGGTCTATGCAAGTCATATAATAATAAGGTAGGATCTGCCGGCTACGCTTTTCTCAGAAAAGGTTGTCTGGTTGAACAATCAACAACAAAGGGAAGATGACAGATTGGTCAGTCAAGTCAAGGTCATTAATTTACCCAATTTCCTTTCTGCTTTGATTCTATTTACATGTCAACCAACTTTGCTTTGTTCAAGAATTTCAAAGTACACAGCTTCAAATATCGACGACGAAAATTCACTTTTCATAGAAGAGATATTCATTTTACAACGACAATTTTTTAATTTCATAAGCACACTCGAAAGAACGACGTAAAAAAAGAAATTCAAATCAAGTATGGAGATAAAATTATGAATTCACTGTACTAACCAAATAGTAACCATTTTTAGTGTAAAAGCTTGGTCAATGAAATAAAGTTGACGAGGCTAATCTAACAGAAGACAATAATAAATATATGGTTGGCCGGGCAACTTATGATAGAATAATCTAATAATTGATGGTTACCTACTCAAGAATAAGTAATGTTTATCATCGTCATCCGAAACTTCCAGTAATTCGATGGATATCATTTAATGAAGAGTTACAAGTCAGGTGATTATTTAGCTATTATTAAGGTTGTAACTTCTCAATTAAAGGAGCATGCTCGAAATAAGACTACCTTAACAAAACAAAGACCAATTGTTTTACAATTTCACCAGATTCAATAAAAATAAATTTGACTGTTTTATAGAGATATTGTCCTTGCAATACTGATATTAATTATTAAAAAATAGAATTCTAGTATTTGATATTGATATTGAACTTGAGTACTGATGTTCATTCTTTAATATCCAAACTGAAAGTTTGGTATCAATACTCTCGTTATAAAATTTTGGAATTTTATCTTTTAAGTACATGCTTCTGTTTGGATTTGCGAACAAGTATATTACATTGTTGATTAATTCAATTAGGCCCTTGGATTTGTAAATTACATGAGGACAATTAAAGGTTTATATGAAATACACACAGTTGTTATTTTCTGCAAAGGAAATCCATTAAAATATACTTAAAAATTGAAATATATAGACGACAAGTGAGCACATAAATATATACCACTTTTATTGTTTCTACATTAGGCATTTAAAAAGAAAGAAACAATACATTTTTAGTAACAGAATTCTCTTCTGCAACATTAACATAATTAGAACGCATGTAGCATGTGTACCTTAACATGGCCGTTAATTTTTGAAGGAAGCGGTAGACTAATTCTTCAATAACTCTACATATTAATATTATGGAAAATATCGAATTCGTTCATCTCGAAAATATTAAATGAGTTTTAAGATTGTTAGACAAAACATTAAACCGAGATAAAAATAATAAACATATATTATTATTAAATTGAATGAAGTAAAATAAATATGAAATTAAAAATAGAGAAATATGCTTTGTTTACTCGTATGTAGACATAAAATTAGATGATCATAGTCGAAAAAATAGAAGAATAATTTTGATAAGGCGTGTATAAACAGTTTCCTTAAGACATATTTGTCTTCTCCTTGGTGATTTAGTAATGTCTGACTCGAAGGATACAACAACAAACGATCACAATAATAGTGATCAATTAAACACAATTAGGGATGGGCATGGGTCGGGTTTTTGGTCCACCCGACCCGACCCGAGAACAAGGAGTCCTCCACCTGAGACCCGACCCGACCAAAACAAGTTTTCACCCGACCCGATATATAACTTAAAACCCAACCCGAAATAATAAAAAAATATTTTTATTCAATAAAAACAGTGACTTAATTGAAAAAATAATAATATATAGATGGATATTATTGTAATTATTCCTAAATATATATATAAGGTAAAATTATATATATTTTTCGGTTCGGGTATTATTCACCCTAAACCTGAACCCGACCCGAACATAACAGTAAAAAAACCCGACTTGGCCCGACCCGAACCCGATTTTTTTTAAAAAAAATCCGACCTGATCGGGTTCGGGTCTCATGCCTATCCCTAAACAAGATCTTACTTTTCTCTATCACCGAAAAGAATGAATCTGGAAGAAATTTTTTAAGTGTTTTCCTATTTAAAAGTTTTAAAATTTTGTTTAAGATTTGTGCCTCAACTAACTATTTATAGTGGAGAGGAAATGAATCAAAAGCTTAAGACCTTTTTATGAAGAGTTAATACTGTTCATAAAAAGAATTGTTGGAAAACTAATATGTATAATTAAATTGACGCAACTGCAACCAACTTATTATTAATAAGTCTATTCATCAAGGCACATGACTACATGACTTATTATAAGCAGCATCAATATCATTCAATTATTTTATTATTTTTCTAATATATATTTGACAAAGAGATGTGTATTCGGGTATCCCTTAGTTATTAGGTAAGCATCGTACTAAAATATTGTGCTTTGAATAAAATCAATGACTAAATTTATAAAATAATATGTTGTATGGATAGATATAAAACTATTGTTATGATGATCAGCTTTTCATGTTACGATTCAATTATGGGTTAATATGTTTATATGTTAGTTTGTGCAACAACCATCTCATTAAGATTTTCGAAGCTCACTTCATTGTTTATTGTTGTTTTTATATGATTTTAGTTTTATTGAGCTCGATTCAAATTGTATTTACGCGTCACAAGTCAATTCCAACAAGTATATTAAGATTTTGTTCATTTTAATCTTGTGTCGATCCAATTTAAACTATGTTAAATTAATATGATATCTTCAATCTAATTTACTACTAAAAATAAGTCAAGAGTATTACATTATTATTTTGTGAGAAATGTAGTTACTAAAAATAAGAAGATTTGCACTTGTTTTATTAATTGTCGATCAATTATAAATATTAACCACCCATTTAAAATCGAGTGATGCAAAATTGTCCCACCATAGATTTGTTTTTGTAATAACATTGAATAAAAAAACAAATGAGGAAATATGGAATATTGGTTATTTAAGCAGTGGAATTATGATGGATGCATGCTAAAGTTAATTCTTAATCCAATGTCGTTTTCAAGCTCTTATGGGACTAAAGATGTGTGAGAAGGGGGAAAAAGGCACCAGCTTTGACACCTTCATCATCTCCTGTCATATGCCAACTTTACACCATATCCGATTTTTTAGCTTAATTTTCATTATTATCTATTACAAAAATAATAATTTGATATGCTGTGTGTGAAACATTTATATAAATAAATTATTTATCTTTTTAAATATATAGCATTTTATATATAATTATGAAATTTAAAAAGTAGTCGAAATTTCAAATTTTATTTGTCTCTTGATATGGCACATCACAGCTGGGATTAACACTCACGATATTCGTTATTACAAATTATGTTACTTTTTGTAATAAAATAAGATTATTATAATATAATATTTATTTATAATATATTTTAATCTTTGATAAATCACATATTTTTATAAACGTAATTGTTTAAACTCAAGACTTTTAAAGATAATACACCTCTCAACTATTAAAACAACTTGATAAGTTTAATCTTATGTTATTTTTTAATTTAAAATAATGAATTTAAAATTTATATTTAAATATAAATTTTATAAAATCATTTTTTAAATATAAACCAAATATATTTTTAAGATTAAAGATCATGACGGTTACCCAAAAATGATTCTTATATAAATTTTGAATAGTTTCAATTCATTTGTGATTAGAATAGTATCATAAATAGGGATGTAAATTAGTCGAGTTGGACTCGAGTATTATTGAGTAGCTCGACTCGATGAAAAATTTAAAACGGAACTCGATTCGGTTCGAAAATTCACGAACATAAAATTTTCAAACTCGACTCGAACTTGAGACCATGAATTGAAGCTTAAAAGAGCTTAAAATAAAAAAATCTTAAATTAACTCAGTTGAAGCTCAAACTCGAACTAGGACAAATTGAAATAAAATAAATTAATTGAAACAATGATTAAATTGAAAGGAGGAAAAGGCTGAAGGACTATAGCTGGAATAAAACCAAAATGATCAAGAGTGCAAATCGGGTCGGGTTGCTCGCAGATCCTGACGCGGGTCGAGCTTGATCCACTCTATTAGTATAAAAGACATTTCTTTTTTCCTTCATTTATCTTTTTTTTCTTAATCATTAAATTATATTAAAATAATTTTTTATTACTAAATTTTTTTAAAATTATAAAATGATCATCAAAGTTTTATCAAATTATTATAAAAAATTAGTTAAATTTATCTATCTATTATAAAATGATACTTATACTCTTAGAATTTATCACTATTTTATAATATGTAAAGATAATTTACAATAATTTAACGATAATTTTGAAATTGCTAAAACTTTTAATTGTAAAAATATATTTTTAATATAATTTGATGTTCTATTTATGTACTTCAATAATATATTTGAGATGTCATGTCAATATAAGTTGACTAAATTTACAGGTAGGAGTCAGAGACCCCATTTTTAAACCCACGTGTCGATGCATGTGCTTCGGTGACTCGCAGCCACCAAATCTTACTTACGTGTCCACCAGCGGATCTAAATCATACACGTGGCAAACAAATGGTGACCTAAACTTCTTTAGGTGTTTTTCTTCCAAAAAATCATTTTCCCCCATCGGAATTCCTTTCCTTTCTTTGAGAAATATTATCTTTGGAAACTAACAGAAAATAAAATGAATATATATATATATATATAAACGAGAAATTAAGGGATAATTTTATGTTGTAGTTTAATTTAAGATAAGTTTAATTTAAAATATCATTATTTTTAATCTAAAATTTTATATAAATTTGTAACAATTTTGTTACAATAAAAAAGTCACATTATACAGAATTTAAGATTTACAATCT